TTTTATATAATTGATTTGTTGTCATTTATTATTTAAATAGTAGATAATAATTTGGTTTCAGTCAACTTCAATTGTTAGCGGACAATATAATACTATAACAATTAACCTACGATAAAAGGAAAAAGACCAAGTCAGATAAGCATTTGCATAAAGAGTGAAGGTGATGGTGAAGATTGAAGAGTGAGGGTCTTAAACAAGCGAGCGGCATGCTAAATCTAAACTGATTGAGATATAAAAATAAAAGAAAAAAAAATGTACTATATAAGGGGTGTGGGACGTACAAACAGTAATCTCGAGTCTCATCTTATCTCAATTTTTTTAGGTCAGGATAAATTTATCTTGACGTGATCAATAAAGGTACTGACTGATTGAAACGAATACAGCTTTGAATACCCTTAATTATTTTATTATATAAAATTATCAATACATCTTGTAATATTTATTTATATTAGGGTTCCTATCTTTTATTTTCTCTGGTCTTATTTATGAGTTGGGAGATAATTTTTTTTCAATTATTTTTATAAATTATATCATTAAATTTTTATCACAAAATTTTTTTAATTCTTTTTATAAGTTACATTATTAAATATTGGTGAGACAAAATATGTTATTAAAACATATATTCTTCTATTAAAAAATATAAGGTATTTTTAACTGAATCTCACCCTTAATAAAGTAGTTACTTACTTTCAAACTAACTCTATCTTTATATTTATCCCTATTAAATACCCTACAATAAATATAAAGTGATTATCAATAGAAGCACTATTAAAAAAAATAATAATTACACTTCGAAAAACTAAAAATACTGTACATTCTTGAACATTTAATTCTTTAAGAAATGTTTTATATTTTTAAATAGAGAGAGTATATTTGAATGACTAAAATTAAGAATTTATTAAATTTTTAAATAAAATTAATAAATTTTAATTTTTTTAAATCTCATAAAACATAGCATAAATATGCTATTTTTTTGGGGCAAAAGTATAAATATGCTTAGTTGAGTTTTTTTTTTTTTTTTTGGACCAAAAATATGCTTAATTGGTTAGAGAAGCATTCATCATCTTCCGAGAGGACGGATAATTTATTAATTTTTGGGGCCGGTGGGTCCCACATCAAGGGGCGTCAGCATCAGGTTTTGGTTAGTGGACGGATATTGCAGGTTTGTGGGGGGAATGGCTTATCTGTCAAAACAGGGCCCACGTGTCCCCCCTCTCTCTGCCAATATTCCGGTTTTCCACGTCATCGGCTTTCCTCTCGGCTCATTTCTCCCAAGTCCCACCCATCCGCCTTCTCCTCTTCCCTTTCTTTGATATTATTGGGAGACATTTTTGGAGGTATTTACTGTTTTTTAATATAAGATATTTTTTAAAACATTAATTATATTTTTTTAATATTACCTCTAGTTAACTCATTAATTATGAAAAAAATTTCATTTAAATAACAGTAAAACTGAAATTTTATTTAATTTTAGGATGAAATTAATGATTCAATCACTTGTTTTTTATCATGGCAAAATAATTAGACATGCTTTATAATACAAATTAGTGAGAGTAATTAATAATCGCTTTGATAATCACTATTTAATGGTACTTTAAGATGTATTCCAACTTTTCTTTATTTGTAAATATATCCAATCAAACTTGACCACTAACTAGCATTTTTTTTTATGCACGCAAGACTTAAATTTGAAACTTTTAACAAAATTAAATACCTGAAATATCTTGAATGATCATAAATTTCAGTTAATTTCAACAAAATCAGTTTGAAAAATTGAAAACTATGAATACACCTTTTTGAACGATGCACGATTTGTTTTCGCATACAGTCAGCTCACCGCACTTTTTTGTACAATGCAATTGAAAGTAAAGAATACACCTTGCCAGATACATGACAAATTATCGATATCAAAACTAAAAATGCTAAAAAATGGTACCATTTGATGATGTTGATGATGATGATAAATAGTTATTACTTTTTTCATAAAAAATATCTTTATTTTTATGAAAATGAAAGCGTAACGAGACCTTTTTTAAAATAAAAAGCATGATGAGACAATTTCAATGTCCATTCTTTCCTTTGAAGAGAAAAATACACACTCAATCACACACATATTTGGGCTCTTTGTCAGAAAACTTCAATTGATACGAAAGTATGTTCATGATTATACTATTATTGATGCTGGTGGTTATAGTGGTGGCATTTGGGTTTTTTTTGAAAGGATGCAATTAAATTTGTGAATATTTTGGGGCCTAATGCTGAATTCACTCACCTTTCGATTGAAATTACTAGATGTCATATGGGTTGTGTTACCACTATTTATGCTAATCCAAATCCGGTTTGAACACGTCCCCTTTGGGATAATTTGAAGCAAATTAGTTTGAATATTAGTGGCCCTTGGGTTCACATTGATGAGAGGAAATCTGATGCTCCTTTTAGAATTAATGTTGATAAAGACTTTTGTCAATGGTTGGAGCAGCATGAACTTAATTATATAAGATTTACTACGGAGGCTTGGCTTGATTGAGTGCTATCTAATGCTGAATTTCTTGAAGAATTTCCAAATGTCATGGTTCTACATATGCATTTTTATAAATCTGATCATAGACCTCTGCTACTTAAATTTGATGGAACGCACCAAACCGAAAAGCTTTGATCCTCTATTTCATTTTATTTCATTTCTCCTTGGGTCTTGCATGATGATTTTCCCAAATTTGTTAGAAGTGGTTGGGATAATAAAGAATAATGGAATCCTAAAACCTAGGCATTTGCAGAAGCTTGTTATGAATGGAATAAGGAGGTTTTCAGTTCACTGAGGCGTGTAAATGAATACTTCTGGCTTGGCTTGATGGTATAACTCAAAAGCTTGCTACTTGTTCACAAAATAAAAAGTTAGAAACACTTCAATATGAGCCTGGGCTAGAGCTTGAGGAAGTCATGATCCAAGGAAATTCACTTTGGACACAGAAACCTAGACAAGAGTAGAATTTAGATGGAGATAAAAATACAAAGTTTTTTCACTATGCGGTGAATGGAAGAAGGATACGGAATAGAGTAGATGTCAAAAAAGATAATAATAGGGAGTGGGTTTATGAGAATGTTGTTATTAAAGATGCGGCTACTTCCTTTTTTACTTTGCTATTATATTGGAAAACTGGGTCAGGGATACTTTGAGTTGTTCCATAACATACTTGGTTATTAAAACGAGCTTGCTACAGAGCTTTGGCTAAAAAGTAGAGTTAAAAAATAGGCAGGCTTAGCTCCTAAAGGCATAAGCCATAAAGCCTAATTCCCCTTGAATTGCCCCATTATTGAGATCTCGTGCTTATTCAAAGAGTTCAAGGCTGATCCTGTAAGTTAATTTTAGAAAAAATTAGAAAAATTTTAAAATAAAATATGGTAACTCAATACCAATCTTGTTTTTCTAATCAATGCTTTTGTATCCAAAATTTAAATTGTTCTTTCATGTTAGATTTCCTCAGCTAATTTTTATTCGTTCATAACTCACCGATTCTATAGAATATGCAAGAGCTTCAAAGTTGAAAAAAAAATTAAAAATTCTTAGAAGTCAATTTGAAGCAATACAATCAATTCTTGAGTCATCAATATCAATAAAAATTAAGAAATTTGAAAGAAATTGATCAAAACATTATCAATAACCCAATAGAGAAATCTTGGCCTTCATTTTTATACTTAATTGAAAAGTCACGGTGAAACAAAACCAAAAAAAATAACAAAGAGAATGGGCAGTGATGAGGTGAGTGTGAGCAGTAATGGCAGAGGAAACTTGATTAGCTGGTGCAAAGAATAATCATGCTAACAAAAGTTAAAACTAGAGAATAATCAGTTTAAAGATGTAGATGAGGTAGTCAGATAATCAAATAGAGGAGAGATCACCTAAACTTGAGAATCAAAGATCATGTGACAAGAATTAGACATCACAAGACGAGCACCTACAGCGAGAAGGAGAGCAAATTTGCAAAGTTGACAATCAAGTGTGTGTTGTGGCTTAGGGTTTTTTCTCCAAGGCATTAAGTGCCAAGCCAAACAGTGCATTTTCACATGGAAAGAAAAAAAAAAACTAATTTTAAGCCTAAACTTTTATAAAAAAATAAGATTAAATAAGCAGCCCTCGAAACTCAACCTTTACTCCTAGTTTTATTAAGAATTGAATGGCTTGGATATCAAAAGGGCTTTTGTTTGATATGAGCATCCTCAAAGTTTCAGAGCTTGATGGTTTAAATGGCCTTTTTTTCTAGAATCAATGAATGTTAGAAAATCTATCATTTTTATGGTCAAGCAAGCTTTTTAAAACCCTTCTGATGTGGCTCTTGTAACAGTCTACAGTTTAATTAAGGATTTAAATAAATTGAGTAGAGGGTTTAGTTAATTAACTAGACTAATTAGGGTTATTTTGTTACTCCACACTCTTTTGCTTTTATTGTTTTGATATATATATATATATATATATTTTTTTATTTATGTATGTATACATGTGTATATATGCGTGTGTGTATGCATGGATGGATCGATAAATTTTAAAATGTTTTCATTGTTATAATATTTTGAAAAAAATTAATTTACATATTTTTATAATTATTCTCAATTTTGAATTATGCCCATATAATTTATTTTATTTTAATTGAATACTTATAATTTGATTTATTAAATTTTGACTTGATTAAAATAAAATAAACTTTAGTAAGGAAAACTATAAGGAACAACAAATTAATTTTTGTCAAATATTTTTTTATTGTACTTTTATTTTTATAAAGTATAAATTATCAAAATTTTGAAAAACTAACCACTAAAGCAAGGACTGCATGTTTTCATAGACACTCACAAAATGAATTTAGGTTTTATGAGAAACAAAAGAGAAAATAGAAACAAGAATTCAATGGCTCTAAAGAAAGCCACATTAGCCGGAGCTTAACCAAGAAATGAAGCCGTCAATAACCTTCCTCAATTCAACTGCATCTTCGCCCTCATCTTCCCTTTCTCTCTCTATAAGTACACTCATTTTCACTTCCCTCGCAAGCCAAAACAACCCAAAAAAAAAAAACAAAAAAAAAAAAGCAAAAAAAAAAAAATTGGTTCTTTCTCTACGTTTCGTTCCTGAGTTTTTCAATATTGTTCGAGACAAGAAAGCTAATTGAAATCATGGGTTTTCTTCACAAGCTCTGGGACGAAACGCTGGCCGGCCCTGCTCCGGAGTCCGGCCTCGGAAAACTTCGCAAGTACGATTCCTTCTCTGCCTCCTCCACCTCTCCGATTTCGCCGCCTACCGTCACCCGGAGCATCACCATTGTTCGCACCAGCTCTGATTCTCGATGCTTCTCCTCCGATCCCTCCTCTTCCCGGACTCCCCTTCCGGCCCCACCACTCCTCGCACGCCTTCTACCCGTAATTCTCTCCTCACCCTCTATCTGTTTGTTTTAATGTCTGATCGAACGTTGGCTGGGTTATGCGCTTCAATGGAAGATTGTATGGAAGAAACGGGAATGGTTCTATGTTGTTATCATGTTAGAATTCTGAATTTTGAGATTCGAGTACTGTTTAGGGGTAGATTTTGTGACAGATAAGAGGTTCTTATATGGATATTAGATTTTTGCATTACGAAGCTTTCAGAAGTACAATTCAACCCTTCTATTTTGTTCTCTTCCTTCCCTATTGGATGCAGAGATTCTAAAGGCATACGGCTTAATTCTTATATTTAAAAAAAAAAATGAGATCCTAGGTTAACAATTCGAATTCTCTGGATGAATGAACTTAAAAGATGAGATGAGATGTTATATAGTTACATTCTTTTTATATCATCTCCTCTTTTGTAAACGCATGAACTAGAAAGTTCTAATTTATTTTGAATATTAGGCTCTCTAGTTTTGACTTTGAGCTATACTTTCCGGATCAGTTGAAAATTTATCACAAAAATTTGATTATGTTTATGGGTTTCTGCATGCAGCTGAGACTCCAGTTGGTGATTTCAAGAAATTCACGAGGAGAAAATCGCCAGCTCAAGCAGAGCGACCTGAGTCTACAAGTCCGAACATTTCCGATTGGTTCTCTCTCTATTTTTTTTTTTTTTAAAAACCCTCTGCTTCTTGCTTGGCGCATGAAATAGTAGATGTGGTTGAGTTGCTTCTTCCTTGACTTTCTAACTATATGGTGCTGCGTGTATGTGGTTTTACAGGGTGATCATGAGTGCTTTGGATCGTTGACAGAGGAAGGCAAGAGACTTTGACTATAAAATATCTGGCCAATGGATGCGTTTTGTACACGGAAGAGAGATTCCAAGGGAAACATCGTTTTGTTTTCGTGTGTGTGTATGTATAACGAGTTGTAGATTACTAGCTTCCTTCAATAAGATTGCTCCTCAGATCAGGAAGGAAGGAGCCACAGCAAATGCTTCGTGGGATCCTGGAGATGGAAAGTACTATCTCGGACCTCAGTTTGACTGGTTCTTTTTCTTCTTCCATCTTATATATATATAGTATGTATGTATGTATAAAGGCATATATATTTAAGTTTCATTTTCTGGGTTTTGATTGTGTATGTGGCTGTGGATACTGAACTCTGTCAGTGGAACTCAATGAAGCTTGAAAATTTTGTGTATTACTTCCCAAGAGTTTTACCTCTAAATTAAAAGGTTAATACAATAATATATGTATATATTAAAGTTGGGACAAAAAAGAAAAACAACGAGACTAGATTCTCTAAATTTCTTTTAAGTAAATATTTGGTAAAGGTGGCGTGTGAACTTTCATATCCTATCTTATCTACTTTCTCGGTGTCACTTATCTTTCTTTAAAATACAATCTCGTCGTCACCCCCTCGGAGTTTTATCTTGGAATGTCTTTTTCATAAAGAAAAACCCAATTTTTGGTAAAAAAATTCCTTTTACCTCACTAATCTTTATTATTATTATTTTATATTGAATTGGAATTAGAAAAGCTTTGAGCTCGAGATGAATCTTAGCGCCTGCTAAGGCGCTAACAACTAATGAATAATGAGTTTTATAGAATGGGTTAGAGCACAAATTTGTTTTTAAATTATAAGTTCAGAAATGTTTGGGATTTCAATTTTTTTTTGGATAATATTTATTTTTAACTTTCAAAAACAATGCAATCTTGCGTGTCATTAATGAATATTAACTTTACTTTTTAGTTAATCACAAAATTAAAAAAATGAAACTCAAATTATATAAAAGAACTAAGAAAAAATTTTAATCATTTTTTTGTAATTTTTTAGATCCTTAATTTGGATCATTTTTTATAATTTTTTAGTTATTTTCTTTTATTTTTGAGTCATTTGTCTGTAATTTTCTAATTAGTTAACTGTAATAATTAATTTTTATTAATAATAAAGGTAAAATTGTACTGTTTTAAAAAATAAAAAAAATTACATTTAAAGATAAATTTAAAGATCAAATATTTTATAATTTAAAGATGAAATTTTTTCATAACTCTTATAAAATTGACATGGATATAGAGTAGCGGTGATAGATATGAAGTCCAATGATCAAAACTTACATGAGAATTGACAAGGTGGTGTTCATTCAAATCACGAAGAGAAAACACTTTTCAACGAATACTGTAAATCAAGAGTGTTTTTGGTTGGGAGTTAAAGGAAACATGTTTGGACTTTTGTAGAAATCCCAAGTAAACGGGATAGACAAATAACATAGGTGATAAGAAAGTAAGGTAAGATTGGTTCTTGAATCGCCCTAGGATGAGGCTGCTTTCACTTTCTCTGTGAAGATCAAGCATCATCTTGAATACTTGAGATATGGTCAGACCTCAGCCCCTCTAATGGTGGAAAAAGGAAATCCCGAGTTTGTCCTCCAAAGCCATCATGATTCCAACCCAGTCAAATCATCAATCTTTCACATCCATAGAAGCCAAATCCCTTCCTGATCCACTTCCACCATTTTTTATTACTTTCTTTCCTATCCTATCCTATCATTTAAATTTAGTACACTAGTAATAAAAGTAAGGCCGCACAGTGTTCATAGAGGGCCAGCAACAAATCTGAATTGGTTGGAGGGGCCACGATGCAAAGTTGTTTTGCAATGGTGCTTTGTACTGTTTACAAATGCAAGTCTCTCTCTCTCTCTCTCCTTTTTAAATAAAAATTTAGATAAGTTAAATTTTAAAAAATCAAAACATGTCTTCAATTTTAAAAAATATTTATAAATAATACATAAATAAGATTTTCATATTAATAATAAAATTTGAACTCACAATTTTTTAAATTATAAAATCATTGAGATAATTTGTTTGTTCTAATCATTGCTGTTTGCAATTGGGGAATTATCTAGAGTCAAGTAGCAAATGAGCTATTTGATTTTGATTGAGATGATATATATATATATATATATATAAAGACTTTAATGCCCATTTGCTTATTATAAAGGAATGAAATTGATTAAAAAATAAAAATAAAATTAGGTTAATCAAGATGTAAAAATATATATATATATATATATGAGACCTTTAGTACCATTTGCTTATTATGAAGGAATGAAATTGATTAAAAATAAAAATAAAAATAAAATTAGGTTAATCAAGAAGTGAAATATATATATATATATATTTATATATTTATATATGAGACTTTTAGTACCCATTTGCTTATTATAAAGGAATGAAATTGATTAAAAAATAAAAATAAAAATAAAATTAAATTAATCAAGATGTGAAAAAGAAATAAGTCAATCATGTTTTTAAAGGAAAATGTTAATATTATTCATAAGATTATAAATTATGATTCATTAGATTTGTGAAGGGCATAGTGATTTTTATATTTATAGTATGTGATATTAGGTTTATCATACTTACAATGAGTGGGAAGGTAATTTAGTTCATTTTTGTGAAAAATTAGATTAGGAATGAAATGGATTAAAAAATAATGATAAAATTAGATTAATTAAAATATAAAAAAGAGATAAGTCAATCATGTTTCTAAAGAGGAAGGTTAATATTGTTCATAAGATTAGGAATTATAACTCATAAAATTCATGAAGGGTACGATGATTCTCATATTTATAATATGTAATATTTGGTTTTATTATGATTATCATGAGTGAAAATGAAATTTAATTCATTTTTTTTTGCTTTCCATCCCTAACTTTTTCCATCAACCAAACGAGTTTTATTAGTTGGAATCAATCACTATGAGGGAAGGAACTGTACTTCTAATTAGTTATTAATTGGGCAGATTAAACTACCAAATACTGTCTGCTTGTTAACAATGAAATGAGACACATGAATGAAAGCTTAAAACAATACAACTACTTTGCCTTCATTGCTTATGAGAGAGATGTTTGTGGCTTGTCTTCTCACTTTCCTAATATATTATGGGCAGTTTAGTAAATTACATATTGCAAACAATCTGTATTACTCGAACCTTTTTTGGTCAAACGCATAATTAGAATAGTTAACTTACCCGGATTACTTGAACCTTTTGGTTTCACAAAATGAAAAGCAATAGAGAGCAAGAGTAAAAGAGGAGACAGGGTTTCAGAATTATATTATTCAAAATTTATAAATAATATTATTTTTTAACAAATTTTACATTCCAAGGGCCTTTTTGAATTGTGATGATAAAGGATAGGGAAATGTAAGCTTAATATATATATATATATATAGAATAAATATGATCGTCCAGATATAATAGATTTCATTGACAAAAACATTGACAATACAAATTCTTTGGTGTCAATTTGATAATTGAATGGATGATTCGAAGATTCTCCAATGAAACCACAACCCACACGTCTAAAAGCGTTGATTTTAATTTTATTTTATTTTTGATGACACGGCGGTGGGCTAAGCCCAAAAGCTTCGCCAGTGCATGGCTCGGACTTGAGAGTTGGGATTTGTGGGGCTCTGTAGATAATTTTCTAATATTATTCTAACATAATGATACATGTGGGGATGTAGCTCAAACGGTAGAGCGCTCGCTTTGCATGCGAGAGGTACGGGGTTCGATACCCCGCATCTCCAGTCTCTTTTTACACCTTCACTTTCCAATCTGGAATTGCGCAACGCCGTCAGTTATTCACTTATTTGCATCAGTAATATTTCCTTCACTTGAAAGTTGGATAGAATGAGCAACTGATGACAACCTGATACAGAAAAATTTGTATTATCGCATGTTCATTGCCTGCAAAGTCCAAGTGTTGAACCACTTAGCAGATGAAAGATACTCCCTCCTCCTATATAAAATATTTTTAATTAAATTTTATATGTCAATAAAAATTTATTATTTAGTTGAAATCGTATAAAATCATAATAATTTAATTTTATCTTTAATAATATTATTATTAATATCATGGTGATGATAGGTACAATACACAATTAATGTCTCTAGTTTTCAAAACAAGGATAAAATTATATAATTATTCAAAAAAAATCACGATGCCCTTATATTTATATATAAAATAATTTTTTTAAAAATATCTTATATATAAGTATAGATGAAGTAGCTTGCTAATCTTTGCTAGTTTTTATTAGGGTTTAGGATATTATTGATTTGTTGAGTATATCAACTTTCTTTTTCATTTACTTTGCCATCAATGACCCCATTTTCTTATTATATTTCCTAACTTTGAAGTTTGAACTTGGATGGACGCCACCAAAATTCAAACATGTCGGCTGTCTGAAAAATTTTAGTTTAATAATTTGGTTCCATCAATGTTTGAGGTATTTACAAGGAAGATGTTGCATGTGTGGATCTTGAATAATGGATGACCCGCATGAATAAAGAAGCAGCACTGTATACATCCAATTCTCAGTCAACGTTTCCGACAAATTAAGTGGATTCTTGTTAGAACAAACAGTCGGGTTGATATTGAGTATATTTGAATTGAAATTTCTGTGAAATTCTTTTAGTTATGTTGTCGGCGATGTCCTTTAAACAATTGAGTTTAGGATTTCTTGTAAGTTGTAACATCTAACTATCTAATTCTAATCAATGAAAGAAACTAACAAGTGGAAAACAATTCAAATAATGCAGAGTCTAATTTAGAATAATTCTTTCAAAAACATTCTCTACATTCACCTGCATGTCAATTCAACACCTCATCTTGAGTGGCCATAACATTTTCCATAAAGACCAATGCATGTTAATAATTAATGCAATAACCATTTTGTTGAGAATGCCAAATGGTTAATGGGATCTTTTTTTGGCATATTTTTAAGATGGGCAATGTATATATTGGATCTAAAATGTGAACATCGAATAGAAACTTTTTTTTTTATCTAGATGATTTAGAATTTTTGAAATAAACAAATTAAAAAAATAGACCCATTAAAGCAAGGAATTCATTTGCCCCATTATTAATGGTGCGCTGCAGGAGATTGGCAAACCTTATGGTACATAAGTACATAACCCCCCTAGTTGCATCCATGATTTCCATAGCTGGCAATGTTATTATTGTTACCACTTTTGACAAGTAAAAGTTATGGTAAATTGGGTTATGATATTCATTTAAAACAAAAACAGATCGCATAACCTCAAAATGGTTTGAAAATTTATTAATTATTTATACATAAGGTCCTCATGTTGCCAGCAAAATTAAATATTATACTTTTATTGAGGGGGTGACACATTTT